GCTCGAAGACCTCGCTCAGGCCATACCTGTATGTTCGCCCCGTAACCGTAGAGGGCATTAGAACAGGGACATCAACTGGCGAAACTTTAATTAACTTTAACATAACAAATTACTGTAATTTAATTTCTTTGAGAGGATTACATTTCATTTCATTCACCACAAATTTTATTACATTGCCGTATACATCAGGTCCCGTTTCAAACCCAGCTAAATGTAAGTACGTAATGAATCTTAATTTGTAAAACTTCTAAATTGGAAAGGAATGAATGCGTTAAGGAAATTTGAAATCGTTGAAAGGGACTAATAAATTTTCGGTTAACTTCAAGTTTATTGAATCCAAATCCAAGTGTATCGTAAATATATTAAAAGTTGAATTAAACTGTATTATTTACTTATGAAAAAGAGAAATAACTTGCAAGAAATTCTTGAAAGATACAATTAGGTTTTATGTTTTCATCGTTTAAATAGATCACAGAAGAGATGGGTAATTTTATTGTTAGAAGTAAGAAATTGGTTGATAGAAAAAAACTACGATATCCTATGATAGTTATAAGTAGCAACACATCAGTTGATTAAGTAATATTGTTGCAATCAATTGTTCAACAGATGCTCACTTAGTTGAGTTCGTACTATATCTCTAGAAATCTACGTAAAATAACTAAAAAAGTTTCCTATATACTGTTTATCTGGTCGCCTTGCCATTTATACTTCATACAGATCGTGCACAGCTCAAAGTAAAAGCAAACTAGAAAAACCAATATTTGCAGCACGGCATCTGCGGTTATTCTACTACTGGTAAAAGTCTATTGAACATTAGTACAACTCAGATACCACGGATAAAAATTACTTACCTTTTTACATGAAAACAAAAAAAAAACAAATAAGTCCGCTTGTATACCTTTGTAAGTAAACGGTGCCATTTTACGTAGAATGAACCTTATAATGAATTTGAGATCAAGAAAGAATGAAAAGAGAACTTGTTAGAAAACCAAAAACGTCCCAATATATGCATTTCAACATTACATGAGTGGGCCTGATAAAATCTCCCCGATCGTGCTGAGGACGTGTGCCCGTCTGCTCGCTTGCACCCTATTCCATAAAAAAAAAAAAAAAACAAATTAGCACAGCCTGAGATTATTATTGTATTATGCCATTATTTTTAGTTTTACCTGTAAAATAATCATTTTCGACAGCCTTTATCAGTTGAAAACCTAAACTAAAAACATTCATCTGTAACTCTAGCACTTTTCAGAAATTCAGAGTGAACTTAAAATCGCTACAGTCGAAATTACTCCAGTAGCTTTAAGTGACGCAATAAATAGGGTTGTTTAGTGAGGCTACCAGAGGAGGACTTTTAACAGATTTATACGTAACGTGCATTACTAGATTATAGTCTTATATATATCTTTAAGCACCGTAATGAAATAAACCTAAAGCTTTAAGGGAAGTAGCCCTAGAGAGTTTTTAAGTTGCCGATTCATCAGCGTGCTTGATTTTCTCTTATAGCCAGTCGGCATTCTTTTAGTCCTAAAAATGAAAATAGATTTTTGATTTACAATTTTTTTTAACCCCACCATTTTGTGTAGGACATTCGATTAAGATTTTTATATAATAGAAAAAAAATCTGAGCGGTTATGCCACATTAGGTAATATAAATATTACTATGTACATACAAGTAATATTCCATCAGTTACCCTATACTAGACCCAGTATGGCACACCGTTATACATTAACATTATATGGTTCCAGTCCCATCATCAACCATCTCCATCATTAACACCAATTTATATCGATTAATATTAATTACAACCGTCAATAAAATCATTTATCCGGGCTTACGAATCAACGCTATGTCATATTTGCCGCTAGTAACAACCAGTTTCAAATTGAAATTTTGCAAATTTGCAATGTATTTGAGGGATGATTTAGCAGTGAATTCTGGATTTTCCATTAAAATGATTTTATCGTGTTCAGTGAACTAAAACTATTGTGTTTCAAAGCTATTTCTTAATTAATTATCAGCTGTTTAGAATCTGTATCGAACTTAGAAAGAAAATGTCAATTTACATGTAATTGTTGAAAACATGAATGATTCAATGAATATTGTGGAGTCTGTTAATCCAGCTAGCTAAAGTACATTTATTATTTTTATTGTTACTGCTAACATATTTATCTTTCATCATATTGTTTTTAAATATGCTGTATTATTACAGCAAACAGAAGAGCGGTAAGCGGTAACTTATTTAAGTAAACATACTGAGTGACTAAGATTGGCTTGACGGTAACCCCATGCCATCTCAGATACTAGTAGCCGGAAAACCAGGTGTACGCTACGAAGGAAATCTCTGATGCTCTGACGAACTCTGACGAACCGGTGCTTCCCCATCCCGTTATGCTTCTGCTAAGGTGACAGATGGTCTCACCTGTCACCCCTAGGCCCTCGCTTATAGGTGATAGAGGTCGTTCATCTAATACTAAAGAGTCGCCGGCGGTACCTGGCCCGTTCCCGGGTCTGGGGGAACAGAGGAGTTCTAAACCTTTTCCGGCCCTACTCCACTCTCTCCTTCGCTTATTTGCTCGCGGAAGAGACTTCGTTTCGTTTTATAGCCGCATCATGGTGCCATGCAAGAGAATTTTCTCTCCGACGGATGGCCCCACCGAGGTTCACACCTCTACTCCACCCACGCCGGGCATTCATTGGAGATCCCTGGCTGTCGAATTTCCCCCATTTTGAATGTTTTGCTTTATTTCCATAAACATATGACCAGTATAACTTGAACTTGTACAATTTGACTTTTGTACCATGAAAAGTCTAAATATACCTATGTATAGTGGACTGCTATAGTTTTATGTAGCCGTTTTGACATAATTTTCTATCTTTATTGCATTTTTTTTTTAAATATTAGCTTGCATTTATTATTACAAATATGCTTTGGTATATTTATGTAAAAAAAAAGAAAAATGTTTCTTCACGTATTAATTTATTGGCATAGTATATAGATGGCATGTTTATCATCAGTATAGATGCCATAGTTTGCCATATGTGGAAGGTGCCAAGGTGATATTATTATTTTTATTATTAATTCTTTCAACGTCATTCTGTAGCAGTCATTGACAAATTGTGTTTTAGAACTCATAATATATATATATATATATATATATCAATTAAAACTAGTCCAAACAAGCTATCACCACATGTCTACACACGTATCCACTGTACCCATATGCTGCCACGTGATGTTTTTATCTCTCATGGGGTCAAGAGTTACACGTGAAAGCAGTGGACCACACATATCGCCACCCATAGCGTCTGGTCCAGTGTCTCTGTTCTTAACACAATAGACTATCTTAGGGTCTTAAATTACTTAAATAAAAATCATTATCTAATAAAATTCTATGAATGATGCTTATAGATTGTGATGTCGTAGATGTAACATCACCCACGCAAGGGAAATACTTACATAAGCTGCTAAAATTAACTATGAAGAAACCACATTAGGAAAGGTGTGCATTCCTATTGTCCTAAACTTCAAATACTAATGGGTATGATTTTGCCATTGGCATAAATTTAAGTCCCGTTCCAGCCTATAAAATATTGCTCGGTCAAGCTAGCCAGTAATAGGGTGGAAATGTTAAAAATTGTTTACTCACGCTAATGTCGTTTTGTTAGTAAAAGTTCTAATCAAATTTCATAAGGTATTTCTGGACGAGCTCGAAGAATATAATTAAAATATTTTCTTTGTTTCCTTCAATTATAATGAACACATTATAGGTTCTTTACTGCCAAGTAAAGCGTGTCACGGTAGTGATACGTTAGTTTACAAAATTGCCACAATAGAATTTTATTTATAACAAAACTTATATAAGAGTGAGCACGGCGATAAGAAATTCTAGGCTGGGATAAATATCTGCAATTTCACAGCAATTAACATGGGATTCGAAATTATTGATAATACATAACATAATTATATTAATCAGTCATAGGTAGCGTTTTTTAAAAATATGCTTTTTGGGACATGCGAGTCTCTCGCATGGCACTCGGGTATATCCTAGGAAGGAAGCACTATAGAAGAGCCCTCGGAACACTTCGTGCTGTATATAGCAGGAGAGTACTAGCTGTCGCACTCGCACTCCTATCTAGCGTTATAACTATTATATTATACTTATCTGGCAGGCAGTTGCAACCGCCAAAATAGGTAGGCTGTTGACATATACTTTTTAAACTATTAAATTAAATTTCAGCCCCGTGGGAGTAGACTAAATGCATTTAAAAAAAAATTAAGTGATAATGATGCAAACGCAAAATCGCAGCAAGAACTGTACTTTCTACATTGACAAATAATTAAACGTCATTTAAAAAGTTTACAAGTTTCTGGAAACGTATTTGTTGAATGGTTCTACTAGCTTTTGGACCAATGTAATTATAATAACAAAACAACGGAGTGTGTCAAAATCAAAATATCTTTTTGAAGTAAAACCTCTTTAGAATCGTTATTTGAAACTCGATGAAACGAAAATGCGTCACGATAAAGAACAAAACACATAAAATGTATAGGATTAAGTCGGCGAGAGAATGAGATAGAATCCATTACACATTTTTTTTAATATAATATTTGGAGTGTACTAATTATTATCTTTTTATTTAATACTAGCTGTTGCCCGCGATTTCGTTCGTGTAGAATTTGAAAAAAAAACGCTGCCATAGTAGGTTCAATTCTCGGGCCGGGTAAAATTTTATAGGTTTTAACTAGAAATTAAAAAAAATATATCCTAATTATATAAGAAAACAATTATAATATATAGTGGAAATTAATATTAATGAATCCTAACTAAATTTAAACTTGCTTATTCCTACTTATTAATCGACTCTTTTTCGTTTATACGAGAAATACTTTCATATTTACTTGATTGAGAAAAGAAAATAATTAGTATAACAAACAATAGCCAGCCTTACTACCACTAACCTCCATATTTTTATAAATACTTTTTCTTTGTTTCAGATATATGTAGAAACAATATACTATGACATAGTGCTGCATAAAGAGTAAAAGATGTTCACCATGACCTTACGGCATAGACATGTGCCCGCGTGGGTGGTGAGCATTATTCTGACGATATTATTAAATGCTTTCCTTGAAGTCAGTTCGGTGGAGGCGAGAGATGAACCACATAAGTACACGATAGAAGAATTATTATCAACGAGTTTCGAGCCAAAAGACTCAGGAGATCTGGGAATGGATCCTTGTAAAGCTGGTAAGTACTAAAATATTGTCACTATTATACCATATATATATACGACAACGATTGTTGATTACCAAACACTATTTATTTTTACTTAAGTTGTAAATATTTTGAAAGCGTTAGAGGTAGGGTAGAAAAAGGTCCTACGTCTTCACAGGTCATATTGTGTAATTTTTTTACTATCAAAGAAATACATTTATACTATACATAAGTGATTATAGGATTTACTAAATATTAACTGCTTACAGCTATTTCCAAAAACCTTTTTGTAAGAAAAACTTGATACAATACATAGTTCTCCTTGTTTATATCACATTTAAATACCTATACCCACTAAATAAAAACCTATTTTATCAAATGTTCATGTTTAATTAAGAATATAAATTCTTACGTTTATTGTATCAATCTTCATTTTACTCTGTCACATATAAATTAAGTAATGGATGACAGATATCAGCTGGAAATACACTTAATGCTGACATTTTGCGTGAACAGAAACGAGACTATATTTTATGACTAGCGCTTGAAAACAAGTTACTGAATTAACGGGTTTAAATGTAATATTTAATTGCTATAGGTGGCACGGTAATTAAGACTAGGGGCTGTGAGATATTATTTTTTGCATTCCGAATAGGATTCCTCAATCTAAAGTCGGAGTGTATCATTAATTGGAATACCGCAACAGCAATCTTTTGTTTCGTTTGGTGAACAATATGGCGTCGCGGTACAGGCCATTGGGACAAAAAGCGTAAAAGGGCCAGAGGCAGATAGGTCGGATTTTCGTCATGGACAGATTATTCTCGTTTACTACGTCCGTACGGAATTTGATACAATTTCAACTTGGTATAATGTAAAGTGGTAGCGTAGCGTCTAACGAATAATACAATTTCCGAATTAAACTTTCTGCAAATGTCAACAACCCGAAGTAACAATTATCTACTCCAGAACTATAAAACAGAGCATGTTCATTGAAAAATCAATTGAAACATTATTATATTATTATTATTATATTACCTGTTATGTTAAATTAAACATTACTAGGTTTTACTCTCTTGAAAGTTATTACACGAGTACCATTCTTCGGGAACGGTAGGCATCTACTTTTTCTGGTTGGTACGTTTATTTCGTTCTTTTCTGGACGTCTGGCAAAGTATATGCTATATCCTAGACATTACCCAGTAGTTTCAAAAATTGTAAATTTAAAAATGAATATTATAAATTCAATAAAAAATCAAAATTCCTTTGTACATGACATTTCCTTGTTACTTATATATATGTATGTGTTCAGTGTGTACAATAAAGAGTAAATAAAATAAAATCCTCGATTGTACTGTGTAATATTATATTATATTCATAAGTTATAATTTTTGATTAAGTTCCTCTTGTAATTAACTCTGTTTTGTTTAAGTAAAAATTTACCTAAATTCGTTACACTAGAAGTTTTAAACATAAAGTACTTATGTTTAAACTTAACTACCAGTTCATCAAAACTTCGATTTCATTCGCCTTGTTAATTAAATCCTTATAAATACTAAAAAGTAAATTGTAAAGTTACAACAAAAACTCGTTTACTGTTGAAAATTTCAACGGCAGAATATTAATTAAATAAACATCAGACTGACACTAGCCAATTTGTTAATGTAATATATGTTTATTATACATAATTTATTTCAATTACAATTTAAAAGTTTAGCTAGTTTAAATTTAGAACACCTACTGAAAGACCTACGTGCTAGAGGGTTTGTCTAAAAGGCCATCTTCACACAAGATATATATTACTGTTTTATTTTTAACTATAAGTAGTTTGTAATAAAATGCTATACTTATTGTGTGCATTTTAAAGCGAATAGAGTAAAATCAAAGGAAAATAAAAATCGCATTGGTGTTTATAAAATTAAGTCATCACACTGTTATAATCATGATGACATTTGAAAAAAGATACTAAGGGCTCGTTGACGCTGATCAATTTTCGTTTACAAAAATCATAAACATTCTCAAAGATAAGTATATAAAGAGACAGGGGAGCATGGCAAGGTATTTCACGTTTGAGTTCAAAAAAAGTCTAAGAATTTTTATAAGGCATTATATTTTAAGCATAATATTTATATTATAATAATATTTATATTGATAATAAGATTTTGATAATCAACACGATTTTGCTTATTAAAAATCTTATAAATAAAAAAAATATTTCAAGATGTCTCATGACTTATTTTAAATACTATTCTCTGCTTATCATTCTACAAGAGAAGCAAATAAAAACATTTAGCGTAAACATATGGCACAAATAGTTTATAACTTCGGAAAAGCAATATATAGTATAATATTTGCTAAGCGCTTTATGTTTCTAGAAGTTTCCAAGGCTATCATAATAAGACCCGTTATGGAGGATTGGCTCGAGAGGCGTCACGGGACCCTCTCATACCGATTGACGCAGGTGATCACTGGGAAGGGATGTTTCGGAGATCACCTGTGTCTGATCCGCAAGGAGCCAACGCCTGAGTGCCACCACTGCGATGGCCAGACCGTGGACACGGCTCTCCACACGCTGGCAGAGTGCCCGGCGTGGGTTGAGCAGAGGCGAGACCTCGTGGCGGCCATCGGAGTGGGAGTTCTCTCGCTCGATAGCCTGATTGCGGCTATCGTGCGGAGCGAGAGTGCGTGGAACTCTGCCGTCTCCTTCTGCGAGCAAGTTATGCTCGCGAAGGAGACGGCGGAGCGGGACCGGGAGAGGTTTAGAACTCTCCCGGCCCGCCAGGCCCGGGCACGGGCCAGGCAGCGCAGGCGACTCAGGCGCCGGAGGTCGCAGAACGACCTCCGTCCTCCATAAGCGCAGGCCTGGGGGTGACAGGTGAGGCCATCTGTCACCCTAGCAGAAGCAGGCCGGGGTGGCGGCGAGCGTGTTGCGAAGCGCGCTCGCTTCCAGGGAGCACAGGGAACATGGGGTTCCCACACGGGGCGGGGGTCGTCTACTCGTCTGTAGATGACCCGAGGTATGTCGGGGCACCAGGGCCCTTCTTTCTAGGGTATACCTGGTTCCCCGGCAATTAGTACCCGGCGAAGGCGTGCGGTTTTAGTCGGTTCGAGTCCGACATGCCACCGACAGGTGGTATCCGAGGGGATTTCCGCACGGAAAAAAAAAAAAAAAAAAAAAAAAAAAAAAAAAAAAAAAGGCTATCATAATAAAGTGTTTGTTTAGAATATATATATATTTATACACTTGTTAATATTAATAGTAAAAATTGTAGATAATAATACTCGTGTGTTATCCGCTACATTTCAACACTTGTTGCCTATTTAAAATACCAACCCGAGAGGGTCGGTTTTTATCGGCCGCGCCGCTGATTTCTGTTTTAGCACTTTTTAATGGTACCTCCTGGCCGAGATTTAAATACGCTACATTTTCTGCTTTTACTCCCCAAAATAGTTTTAACAGTCTTCATGGAACTGTTGCAAAGTCTTCTTACATTTGTGTTATTTTCCTTGAATATTCCTGCAACGGGTTTTTAGTGTTATTTACGATTAAAGATTTCTTAACTCAATATTATAACAGTATTATGTTACATATTATATACTTGCCTATTTATCAAAAGGTTAGTGATACTAAGTGCTGAGTAGAGGTCGTGGCTTTGATTCTCCCCATAACAAATTATTGAGTTCGTCACTCAATAAACGGTTTTTCTGTTTCTTTGTGTAGTTTATCTATATTATTTTATTTAGTAATTTACAAGTATGTTCCTCAGCAGCCAGGTTACCATAATACAGGCTGTGCCTAGTTTGACATTGAAGGGCCCTGTGTAAAGTTTTTAAATTATTATTCGATAAAAACGATCTTCGAACGATCGTTATTCTCTGTTCCAACAAATTTTTAGGTAAACAGACAAATAAATGTGTAAAAAGATAAATGTCTCTTAATCTTATTAATATGCTTTATTTTTTGTTTGCTTTTATTATGAAGACTGTAATATTTATAATATTTCTTAACTCACGGCATATTTCAAAGTTTGACCCGTAACTTAAGAAAGCTTAAAAATCGAACCGATAAAAATAAAAAAAAATTGTCAAACAGTAAAACTTGGTAAGAACAACCAACTGAAAAATATGAATAGTTTAATATTTTTTAAAGATTAAAGAAGATCCAACTCTATTAATTATATTGACCGTTATTATAACACATGTATACTTAGGTCCTGTATAATCTAGCACATGATGATTCAGTATCCGCTAAGTACATTAATCGATGTTGTCTAAACAATCATCCGTAGAAATGCACAAATAGTTCGAAGTTCGAGATGTGTTTCAGTTTTTAAGTTAATTGGGTTTTTTCTTTAATAATCAACAGTTTCTTAATTAACATACGCTTTAAATAAATTTATACTTATTAATCCAGTCTTTCACCACAAACAGTAAAGAAACGAATAGTATAGGTATTTTGGCAAATTTCCGATGGACGCTAGACTTACCAGGGCAACTCTGCTCTAGCAGACTGAAATGGGTAAAGACGCGGTTGTGTAAATGCACCGGCCCGCCTACCATTCGGTTTGTCGACTAAATTTCTTTCAAAGTACCGATGCCAAAGCTTCAAAGTAAAAGAAAATTTAAAATTTATTAATTTATTAAAAAGTAACTTTAAAATACGAACCACGAAAAATTGAAAATGGAAAATAAATACATGGAAATTTTCTACTATAAAAACCAACAGCACGGACGAAACACTAAGCACTTTAAAGAATTCTCGGATCATTAGTTTATTTCAACGTCGACCTGTGCATGAAGCGTTGAATAAATGGATTGGACCTCCCTTGGCGTTTTAAATTAAAATAAACAATTAACAGGTTACTAGCCAACTGATGGAAAACCGTCAAATTTTATCGGTACGAAACGGTCGCACGCCACTAAATTGGAATCTGGCACTCTATAAACCTTCAATGTCAATAAAGAGACCCCTCATCAAGCGAACCATAGAATCGACACAATGCCAGTTTTTTACACCCGAAAATTGTTTTTATGTC